AGTGCCAGGCCCTCCACGGCACGTCCGAGCCCCCTGAGCACCCTGAACTCCAGGCTCGATGCTGGCGGGCGGGATTCCTTCCCTAGTTTCTCTGCTTCTGCCTGTCTGTCTGCTCTCCAAAGCAAACGGATAGCTGAACCAGATCAAACCAGCTGGGCACCATGGCTCGTTCTCATCAAGACCTGTCTCGTCATGCGGGTACCCCTGACGCTTCCTCCTGCGCCCTAGGGTCCCAACTACTCGTCCATGTAGTCCACAGGTCAGGAGGTTGCCCAGCTGACTTAAAATAAAACAAAAAACAGGTCGTGGAAAGCCCCCGTCCAATCCACTGAACCCAGCCCCTCAGGCTCGCTCCCAAGGAACTGTACACAAACGGTGTGTAATATGTTCCGGTGGACAGACCCCACCCGGGTGGCCACAGTGTCTCCCCGAGGAAGCTGGATGCTGATAGGCCTGGCTGGGTTCACTGCAAGTTGTAAGCCCAAGCTGCGGGCCCTGGTCCCACATGCAGGCCACGCCTCTCCGTCTGACTTGGGGAACAGGGAACTTCGGGCAACAGACCCACGTGGCCTCGGTGGGCTGGGCAGCGGCCATCTCAGTGCGGGCTGGCTTCCCTGTGCCTCGTCGTCTTTCCTGGCCTGGGCTGTGCCCAGAATGCAGCTCAATACATACGCCTGTGGTGTGGCAGCGGGCTCCATGTTGGGCTGCCGGCTGAAAGGTCGGTGCTGCGAACCCCCTCGCCACCCCATGGGAGAAACACACGGCCGTCTGTTTCCATACAGCTGGGAGCTTAGAGACCCCGGGAGCTTATCCCCACGGAGGGGTTCTACCATGTCCTACAGGGTCACTGACTCAGAATCGACAGGGGCCGAGGGCTGGGTTTGGCTTTGGGTTTTCTGGTTCTCAGTGAACCTGTAATAGTGGGGGCGGCAGTAGCATGGGACAGGGGCTGTTGGCTGGAGCACCGGGGGCACTATACAAAGGAGGCTGGGCAGGGCCTTCTAAGCAGGGGAGGCACAAACACAGGGCTGGCAAGTCCACAGCGGAGCCTCAGAACACGAAGCGTTTCAGGTTGGAGAGGCAGTGGAGAATCTCAGCGGATGAGCTTGGCAGGGGAGGGTTTGGCGCTTGGGAACAACCTGAGCCGCAGTGTCGTCACCTGCACGGTGGGGATGTTACCAGGGAGGCTGTGCGGCTGGTATGAAACAGCCAGCATATAGGGGCTATGCAACACGGCGCCTGGCAACTGCCTGCCCACCGAGCGTTGGAAACTGGAGCAACACGACCCCTTCCTCTGTGTGTCTTTCTCGGTCCCCCCTCTTCCTTGTCCACGCCAGGGATGCTGAGCCCAGCACTGGTTATAGGGAAAGGGGAGGGGGACAGGTTTGATGCTACGTTCATTTCAGAATAGCATCAACAGGGCCCTGTGGGGGCTTCGGGGCGGGGGGAGGACTGTGGTTCCCTGGTGTGGTTTTGGTCCCTGGGATGGGGGTGCGGGGCACGTGCATGCAGAAGGGCGTGGGAAGTGTCTGTGAGGCCCTAGGCGGCTCTCCCAGCCTCACCTCGACCAGCTGCTGCTTCTTGGCAATGCTGTTCCTCTGCAGCTTCTCCGGCTGCGGAGCTGCGCGGCTGACCGGGGGCCTGGAACAGAGAGGCC